TATTTAGACCCAAGAACTCTTGAATGTGAAAATGAGGTGCAACGTATAATCTATTTACATAATATTGCCAATAGACTTCCTGATGCATTTAATGATGCTACAAAGGTCACAAAATCTCATATTCTAGCTGTGAATGCTCCATCTTGGATTGTTGTTCCTAAAGAACAAGCTAAAATGTATCAAAATGGTCCATGCCTGAAGCATGGAAGACCGATAAGATCAAAAAATACTATTCCTCATAAATGAAGGAGGAGGAATCACGAATCCACTCCAAAAGAGCCCATTGCCCCTAAAAAGGCACGAATTGCTCTAAAAAAACCTATTGCCTCTAAAGAGGCACAAACCCATGAAAAAATCACCGACCCCAAGAATACTGAGATTTCCATTACATATTGTAATGAGATTTGGGATTGAAATAAGATAATCATCGATGATGCTTTTGCATTCTCAGTTGCTAATGAGATTTAAAACCATGATCTATTATCGAATGTCGTCAAAAGCAAGATTGGCATGAGTGAGAGGAAACAAGCTAGGTTGAATTGGCTTCCTTAGCTAAACGAAAGGTTTTTAGGCTTATAGCTCGAAGCCCTAACAATGTAAAGCCTGTTGGATATAAGTGGGTCTTTGTCCGAAAACAAAATGAGAAAAGCAAGGTCATGAGGTATAAAGCCCGACTTGTAGTCTAAGGCTTCTTTCATAGACCTAGGATTAGTTATGATGAGACATATTCACTTGTGATGGATATGATTACTTTTCGTTTCCTTATTAGCCTAACAATTTTTAAAAAGTTGAAAATGCATCTTATGGACGTTGTGACGGCATATTTATATGGTTTATTAGACTCTGATATTTATATGAAAGTTCTTGAGGGATTAAAAATGCCTAAAGCATACACTCCTTGTAACTTATTCTCAATAAAGTTGCAAAGGTCTTTCTAAGAGTTAAAGCAATCTGGTCGCATGTGGTATCAACACTGAAGCGAGTACCTAATCAAGGAAGAGTACAAGAATGATCCTATTTACCCATGCGTGTTTATTAATAAATCAAAAATCAGATTTGCTATAATAGCAGTTTATATCGACGATATGAATTTGATCAGAACTCTAAAAGAGTTATCTAAAATTGCTGAATACTTGAAACGTGAATTTAAAGTTAAAGCTTTGGGTAAGACCAAACTTTGTCTTGGTCTAGAGCTTGAGCACAAATCACATCGACTACTTGTCCATCAGTTTGCATATATTGAGAAATTGTTTAGACATTTAAATATGGACAAGGCTCACCTATTGAGCACCCCTATGGTTGTAAGATCTCTTAATCGCCAAAAGAACCCATTTCATCCTAAAATATCTGATGAGGAAATACTTGGTCCTAAAGTACCATATCTCAATGCTATTGGGGTTGTGATGTGCTTGGCATAATGTACGAGACTGAATATTGCTTTTGTAGTAAATTTGTTGGCTCGTTTTAGTTCTGAGCCAATCTGGAGACATTGGAATGGGATAAAACATATCTTTTGTTATCTCTAAGGAATCATAGATTTGGGGTTATATTATTTCAAGGATTCCACTAACTCTACTTTAGTTGGATATGCTGATGCAGGATATAAATCTGATCCGCACAAGGCTTGCTCCCAAATTGGTTATTTATTTTGTTATAACGACACTGCCATTTCTTGACGCTCTATTAAGCAATCGCTAGTAGCTACATCTTCCAACTACTTTGAGATTATTGCTTTATATGAAGCTAGAAGAGAGTGTGTTTGGTTGAGATCTGTTATAACACATATTCATGATTCTTATTGTTTAACACTGGTTATAAAATTCTCTCATTATAATTTATAAAGATAATGTTGCTTGTATTGCACAAGTTAGGGGGAGAATATATTAAAAGAAATAAGACCAAGCATATCTCGTCGAAAATTTTCTATACTCATGAACTTCAAGAAAGTTGACAAGTTGATGTTAAGCAGATTCACTCCTCCAATAATCTTGCAAATCTTTTTACCAAATCATTTTCAATGTCAACATTTGAGAATTTAGTATATGGCATTGGAAT